GCATTCCTCTCCTCCTCAATGACACACGTAAAGGACATCAACTCGGAGCCAGGTAGACAATTCCCTTCACATCTTACAGTAACATCAGGTAGGTGCTTTAGGTTAAAGTAATGTTTCAGTGGCTACAATAAAAAAGGGGAAAAACAATGGCAGAAAGGTTTAATCGCAGTCTGAGGACGACTTAAAAGCCTATCACCATGAAAACCGTGGCTGTAAGGAGATCAGCCTTCAGATGGGTTGTATCTCTCTATCTCAACCGAGTAAAATGCTCTGAAATAATCCTTTGCCAACCCAGAGCCCCAGCAGCAACACACCCTGGTGCTCCATCAGCATCGCGGGCTGGAGCCGAGCGTGGCAGCATCCATTAAAACAGGAAAAAAGCCCTGCGGAGGCTGCCGGACAAAGCCGGCGGCGCGCACACCCTTCCTCTGCTGGGAACAAAGCTGGGAGCCCCCTCCACGGGATGGTTGGGAGCACCGGGAGCTGATTTAATCACGGGCTGCCTCCCGAAATAGCAAACGGGGAAGGAAAGCTCCCAGAGGCACTGTTGATAGCAACAGGCAGGGCAGCACCGGCCCACACATCCGCAGGGACAGGCTCTGGTCTGCAATGGGCAGGAGAGCGCTTCCCCGCCTTTCCCACTGCAAAATTAATGAAATTCCCAATTAACACCATTAACAGCGAGGATGGGGATGCAGGAGCTGCGTGTGGGGGTCTGTGAGCTTCCAGGGGTCTGTTGGACTGTGATGTGCTGGGAGGACCGGGGCCAGCACAGCTCTCACCATGCACCATGCTACTGATGCCCCATAGCCAGCCCAATATCCCCAATACCAGCTCAGTATTCTCCATCACCAGCCCAATATCCCCATCACCAGCCCAATATTCCCATCACCAGCCCAATATCCCCATCGCCAGCCCAATATCCCCATCGCCAGCCCAATATCCCCACCGCCAGCTCAATATTCCCATCACCAGCTCAATATTCCCATCACTAGCCCAATATTCCCAATACCAGCTCAATATCTCCATTGCCAGCCCAATATCCCCATCACCAGATCAATATCCCCATCACCAGCTCAATATCCCCATCACCCACACTCAAAAACCCCACAAAATATCTGTGTGTCACACAGCACATCACCATTGGGTCACTCGAACAGATGCCTGCCTTGGAGGTCACCAAAACAAGACAAAGCAGAGATGTTGGTTTGCAGAAGAAAACCTTATCATCCCACAGCTGGAACCCAGGGGATGACTCAGCGGCAAAAACCGCGGTCGTCAGCAAATGAGTTTTCCTCCAGGAACGGTGTTTGTATCGGAAAATAAAATCAGTGCCAAGAGGGAAGGGCACCAAGAGCGAGCTCCTCCACCAGCAGCCCTGGCCGTGAGGATGGGGCCATCTCTCCCAAAATAAGGTTTTCTCCCCAACTCCAGTACCATAGAAGGGACCACAGAATCACAGAATGGCTCGGTTGGAAAAACCCTCTGAGATCATCACGTCCAACCGCTCCTGTCTACCCCCCAAAACATAACCCTA